TAACGTTTAATTGCTAAATGAATTATAATCTGTTATGATTGAAATAAAAGTATTCAACTAAATACAGAGCAGTTGATGAAATTATGCTGAAAAGATCAATGAATTTACCTTTTGGATCGGAATGATTGATATAGGTAATCTGACAACCGTCTTGACCCATATCACGGATATAATATGCTGCTAAATATACAATGCCTCTGATATATCCTTCAACAGGCGGAAATTTCTGAAAATTTACATCTTTTTTGTTCAGTTAATGAAAACATAACCCTAGCAGGAAGAAAATTAACAATATTAATCATTTTTGATTAATTAATTTAATTAGCAACTACTACAATATTTGACCTTTTAATTTATCATTACCCTTTATTTTTACTGATCTCTTTTATTTCATGTTAATATTGCCAAAAATTCTTCGCTCAGATTCATAATTTTGATTAAAAGTTATATTGTTCATAAATTTCAAAAAATATCATAAATTTGAATTGAAGAAAAAAAAGAAACAGATTTCAAATTTCACTGTTTGATGAATAATATATTATTGTAAGCTTTGTTTTTAATCATTGTTCTACATTGTTAGCCGGAAAGTGAAATGTTTGATTTCAATTGCGTGCGTAAAAGTATGCTAAATTATTTAAAGCAAATCTAAATATATTGTCTTCACCTTATGTAAAATATTAGCATGCTTAAATTTTCTTATATCCTTATCCAATTAATAATAACAGCAACAATAAATAAATTAATAAAAGTAGTAATGATTTAATTCTTATTGTATTGATTGTAACTTCAGGTTGAAGAATTTTTTTTCCTAAATAGAATACCAACACATAGATTTAGTGAATTATTCATTACTTTAAACAAATAAATTGACCGTACTTCATGACATACTGAATGGCTACAAATATATTTTTCGTTACCGGTATCTAACCATGATCGTTGGAGAACAAAATCTCGAATCTGTAACGGTGGCATACCTCCTACTGAAATTTAATTTATTATTGAAATAAAATTTGAAAAGATTTTAGAATAAATAATACAATTAAATGATGGAAGATGAACAGCTTTAGAAAATAAAAAACATTTGGAAATTTTTCTTTTTTTCTTGCCTTATAATGACACTAATATTAAAATCTAATATCAGTAACATAAATACATGTATATATTTCTTCTTCATTAACAGATTAAAACAGAAAGGAATAAATTACAAAGTTCTACAATTACAAAGCTTTTGAATAATTTTGAATTTCACATAATTTTCTCTTTTTTTAAAAGTTTATATTAAATCTTCTCCTTCCTTTTTCTTTGAACGACAAGTCAAATTTTGATATAAGTTAGTGAAAAAAAAATGGATTTTTTCGTTTTAGTATTTATATTTTTTTATTTGGATTAAATTTTAGTGAGATAAGTGAACAAAAAAAGAATAGAAATGAATTTTGAATTATAAAAAAATTAGGGAAAAAATACGAAATAGAATAAAATATTACCAGCGTAATAACAAATATCATTATTGGGATTAATTAGGCCGATATCAATGGTTGCAACGTGATATTTATCCCATTTAGGCCTGTACTGTGGATCATGCAGAACATCGTAGACTGTTGCTGCAGGCACATCAGTTAGCAATGCTTTAGCCTGAAATCATATTTCCATGAAATGAAATTTGAAATTACTAAATAAAAATGATTTGGTTTTTCTTTTTTTTTTCTAAAAATTTATCATTGTATGAGTTAAAAAATTTGTTCATTTTTTTTATTTGTTCTAAATTAAACTCATATTAATTATTGAATTGCTGATTTTAGATCTCGTTCGAATTAGTTTTTTATCTTTTCCCCTGCTAATTCTTCAAAATCCAGCAATATGAATAATTTGAAAAAAAAAATTAAAGAAAAAAGGGGAAAAAGATGCTTGGTAGAATATTTTACAAAATGTATAAAATCAAATTGAACATTATAACATTAATTAAGCATTTAGCTGTAATTAAGATCAAGATTTGTAATTTTCAAAATTTTCCTTATTTTACATCAAATTAAACTTCTATAGTTCAACATAAATTCAAATGTTATGAAATGAATGGATAAAAACCGAAGGTAATACAAAATATTCTCCAAGTTTCATTTAATCTCAAACATTAATTCTACTTTGCTGCGAATTTATAAGTTACCAATAACTTTCATTTTACTCCTTCTTTTTTTTTTCTTCCTTACTTTTTCAAAAGCGATTTTAAATTTTCTTTATTGAAATATAATTCAATTTTTCCAAAGCAAACAGTAACACAGTCAAATAATGATTCTATTTCTTCTTTTTAACTATTTTCAAATTAATTTACGCAAAAACAAAAAAAAAAGATTAATTAATAATAGGCAATACTTTAATCATATGAAGATTGGAATTCGGCACCGATTTAGTCCATACTTTAATAATGTCCTTATTATATACTATATTCCAACCGGAATGATTTTCGCATAATTCGTTAATATATTTAAAATCAGCATCATCTAATACTTTCACGTGATTGAGACATATACCAGATTTGTAACAATGATTCTCTTCGTTATCACCGTTACCTATAATTATTATTAT